GATATTCGTCCGACTCCATCCAACTGCAACGACCGACTGAACTTAATGCTACAATTGTCACCCTTTTTATATTATTCCGCTCGGTCCAGGCTTCGGGGAGAGGGATTCTTGTAAGACGGCCGTTCCTGACACAAGGGCGTGCTCGACCGCTTCACCACCATCATCACCACACTCTTCCTGTCTGTCTCGTTCATCCTGATCATCATCGTTTAAGTTCTCTGAAATGCACATGGCACACATAAGAAAATGACATATTTAAATTTATTTGTGATGTAAATCATTTAAGTGCATGAAATGGACATGAAGAGTATTTATCATTGCTGCAGGCGCAAGCGTGCACTCAAGCGTCCTTAGGCAATGACTTTAATTATTAGTAAAATAAAATTTAATTATTTCAAGGAATGTAACACGATTGATAAGATTCCGGACTCCTACCACTCGCTATACATTATTACACAAAAATGCATATAAATGCATATGGTTCATGAATGTGCAACACCACTTACCAAGTGTAACACAGTGACAAAATAAAATTGTTTCGGCAGAGGCACAATGTTTGCATGCCAGATGAATGTAAAGGCAGAGGCCCGATGTTTGCATGCCAGTAAATAACGAATGTACAACACTCAGTAATGTCGTAGTTCGTACAGTGGAAATATAACGGCAGATGCCCCACGTTTGCATGCCAGTAAATAACGAATGTACAACACTCAGTAATGTCGTAGTTCGTACAGTGGAAATATAACGGCAGAGGCTCCACGTTTGCATGCCAGTAAATAACGAATGTACAACACTCAGTAATGTCGTAGTTCGTACAGTGGAAATATAACGGCAGATGCCCCACGTTTGCATGCCAGTAAATAACGAATGTACAACACTCAGTAATGTCGTAGTTCGTACAGTGGAAATATAACGGCAGATGCCCCAACAATGCTGGTTGTTGCACTTTGCGCATCACCTCCCGTATCCAAGGTGCTACGCGTCGTACCCTCCGTCGTTACGTCCCCAACGGTTGCAGAACCTTGCCCAGGTATTGAAACCGCTAAAGGCAGCAACGGCGGCGGTAATGGTCGGCCGTTCGTTAGATGGGACGGGTTATCACTACGCGAAACTTTGGACTTTAATTGAATTTGACCTTCAATAACGTCTAGCCGTGAAAGTATTCGTTCCAAGGCACTATTATTTTCACGAGAGCAGTCCCGGCGGTGACGGGATACGAACCGTTGTTCAGAACTATCGCGATGTCGACTTGAATAACGTTCTCGATGTCGACGGCGTAACGGAGGCGTATCACGACCACTAGAAACACTATGCCTATCACGGGACCTAGACCTAGTACCAGACCTAACACGTTACCCGATGCAGTCGCGATCCCTAGATCTACTTGAGCGATTCGACATCGTCACAAACGCGATTGATTAACTAAACTGAAATGTGGGTAGAATCACAAAAATTAAATCACAAAACTAAGTTGGATAACACCAGCGGTTAGATCGCGTATTTTAGCGAATCCCACTTCTGATCTTATAAACACTAAAAAATAAGATTTAAAAAAAAACACACGGAAGCATAACCTAATAGACTGATGTCTTATTTATTAATAAATAGAAAGGTACATGAGCAGTACAATTGATATGAGTATTACCAACCCAATACAACAATATTATAAGTAGCTGATATAGCAACAAGTACACAATAACAATTAGGCACAATATTTAAGTAATAAACAATATCACCGATATTCGTCCGACTCCATCCAACTGCAACGACCGACTGAACTTAATGCTACAATTGTCACCCTTTTTATATTATTCCGCTCGGTCCAGGCTTCGGGGAGAGGGATTCTTGTAAGAATATACATTATTATTAAATATACAAAAATCGCCAAACTGTTACCAGTTTGTTGACGATTTGACCGCACGGAATCGCAGTTTCCTATAGTATAAAAAAAGCTGATGCTGAAAGACAAGTCATATCAACGAAGCTATCGCAGCATATCAACTAAACAAAATAAATTAATCTCAATTAAAACTGATGGGGCAACGCGGCAAGATAGGTCATTTTAAGGTGTAAATGTTCAATTTATCGAAAGTGCACAAATATAACTGATACACTTGGGAGTTATACAATTGAATTAACGAAGCACTACAGATTATTTAAAAGTAAAGCTTATTTATGTGCTAAGAAAGTATTATATTTCTATCTCACAAATAATTACAATAATTAGCTGTTATTATTGCTGTAATCAACGGTTATTGGCATTTATTTTTTGCAAATAACTTATTTTTTTACGAATACACAATCACGAAAGTTGCTAGAGGCTAACTTCGCTCTCGCCACCTTTCGCCGGTCGTACTATACGTTGTTGCTTCGGTAAAATTTAATTCAGAGATATGTTTCTATTACAGAAAACAAAGAAAGCTATGAGCAAGGATGAGGTTTCCCTACTCGTGGATCTAATACAAAGCCACCCCATAATTATAACTAAAGAGACAAATGCTGCCACCAATAAACACCCTTTTTTGCATGATGATGGAAATTTCCATGAATGTTTGTTGTTGGCAACTTTTTACACGACCAAGGCATGGAACGAAACGCAGTTGTCAAAAAAAAAACAAACGTCACTGTCAATTACAAGGCCTTGAACTTGTCATTCAGCTGTTTGTTGTGGTTCGAAGAAACGAGTGAATTTATAAATTGTTTTACGGAACTTATCTTAGATTTGTCCACTAATAAAAGTGAGAATGAGTGAAAAAAAGGTTTGTTTTTAGTGTTTCTGTTAAATTATGTGCAATTTATATTGAAATACCCTGAATAAATTTCTCAAAACTATGTGACAGAAATTTACATCACTATGCAATAACTTCACTTGTAATGTATGGCGAAAATGGTTTTTAGTAATTTTTGTTTTTTGTAGGGAAACTTGAAAGACTGAGACATCGAAGCTTATTTGAGTCAGTTAGAAGGCGGTTGGCTCTCGGAAGATGGCCTTGATAACGAAGATTCCGACGATGAGTACCGTGATGCTGATGAAATTATTAGAGTGTTGCAGGAGGAAAATGATAATGATGATGTGGAAGATGAAACTGCTGACATTGATCCTCCTCTTGTAGAAGAGGTCACCACAGAAGACCAGGAACCCTCACACTCATCATCTTCATCCAATTTTCAGTCTTCATCCAGTTTTTTATTTGACAAAAGAAACTTGATATGGAAAAAGAGGAATCTTGTGTATGATGCAGATAAGATTACTTTCTTGGGGCGTTCTGCTGCTCCAGATGAAATATCACACCTGGAAACCCCATATCAGTGTTTCAACCATTTCATAACAAAGGATTTTATGAATAGATTAGTGGAGCAAACAAATTTATATACAATACAAAGTAATCCCAATTCATCTATAACATTTACAGAATATGATTTATACAAGTTCTTTGGTATCCTGTTATACATGTCAGTACAAAAATTTCCTAGCACAAGATCTTACTGGTCACCAAAGTTTGGTTATGACCCCATTTCTTCAACAATGCCACTAAACAAATTTGAAAAAATAAAATTGTCATTGCATTTCAACAATAATGAACTTCATAAACCTATAGCCCATCCAGAACATGACAGGCTTTTTAAAATCCGCCCTGTAATCAAGCACCTCAATGAGAGGTTTGCTACAGTGCCAATGGACCAAAGACTTTCTGTGGATGAACAGATGTGTTCCACAAAAATAGGGCACTTCTTAAAACAATATCTGCCCAATAAGCCCCACAAATGGGGCTTCAAATAATATGTTCTGTGTGATTTGATGGGATATGCCCATAAGTTTGAGGTATATTCTGGACAAGAAAATTCAGAAAAACTCTCCGATGAACCAGATCTTGGTGCAACAGGTAATGTTGTAGTGCGTTTGCTTCGGGGAGCGCCAAGAAGGCTAAACCACATAATATACTTTGATAATTTTTATACCTCTTTGCCATTGGTATATTTTCTAGCTAAAGAAGGAATACATACTGTGGGGACTGTGCAACAAAACAGGATTCCAAATAATAAACTACCAGATAAAAAAGATTTTATGAAGAAATCGGTGCCCAGAGGTAGTTATGAAGAGAGAGTTTCTATGCTTGATGGTATAGATATGAGTTGTACACAACTCATATCTATACCAGTATGGAAAGATAATAAGATAGTAACCCTGCTATCTACTTATGCTGGAGCATTGCCTGTGGCTAAAGTAAACAGGTATGATAAGGCAAAACGAGAAAAGATTGATATTACTTGCCCATTTATTGTCCAAGAATACAATAAACACATGGGAGGAGTAGACCTCATGGACAGCTATTTGGGTAGAAATCACATAACACTGAGATCCACAAAGTGGTACATGCGTATTTTTTTTTCATTTATTTGATCTTGCCGTTATAAATGCTTGGATTGTCTATAAAAAAAAATGCTCAGAAAAGGGGTGAACCTAAAAATAGTCTGCTTACAATGAGCCAATTTAGAAATGAATTGGCCTTTGTGCTTTGCAACAAAGGAACCATCAAAGATGCTAAAAGAGGGCGTCCTAGCAGCAGTACCCTAGAAGAAGAATTGCTGACAAAAAAAAAGAAAAGGTTCTCCAGCTCCTCCACCTCCTAAAGACATAAGGAGGGATGGTTCTGAACATTGGCCAAAAGTAGGTGGGTCACTCCGGTGCAAATATCCTAAATGCAAAGGTTATTCCACAGTATCATGCAGTAAATGTGGAGTTAATTTGTGCCTAAATAAGAATAATAATTGTTTTCTAAATTATCACCAAGAATAAAGAATGATTAAGGATATTCTATTTTTATTTATTTAGTACTGAGCTAAACATGCAGAATTGCATAATGATGGATATTTCCATCATACTATTTTTTACTTATTTCGTATTATTTATGTATACTAGGATTTTTTTAAATATTTTTCCCTTAATTTAGAGCATGAATTACATCACCCTGATTTATTTCACAAAAATCTGAAAAATCATGCAAAGAAGGGTTAAGGAGGAATCGTGGATATCTTTAACGAACAAATTTAATTCCAAAAGTAGTCAAATACCACGTCAGATCGGTCAGCTTAAATTGAAATGGGACAATTTAAAGAAAGCAGCTCGTAAGAGAGCTGCCGCTGTAAGGATGAACAATTTAAAGGTAAGATTATATTACCTATTATTAATTACTATCTACCCTGTGGTTTACATGCATGAATCATGTGGTTTCCATGAATGTCTGCATAAAAGTATTCTAGTCTGTCAAATTTGATTTGAATGGATTTTGAAAGGGGATTGTCCAAATAAACTAAACATGTTTTATTTTATTGTAGACAGGTGGTGGCAAACCGGATTATATCCCACCTGATGAAATTTTAGAGAAGGTTCGATCGTCTCGATCGTTTTGGAATCCACATGTAGTGGGTTTGAAGTTCCATTCGGTAGTGATGAAGTGGGTGCCACGGAAAATGTCATCTTTGAATTGGACAATGCTGATGATTGGACGCAAGTTCAAAAGCAACTTGACACAAATGATGCATCAGTTAACATCCAGGATGAATCACTTTTGCCAATAAGTACAAGTAAGCATCCTTTCTGTTCCTTTCTATTGCCTTCTATTATTATTGTACACACATTGTTAATTTTTCTTTTATATTTAAGCAAAAAAGAGGAAACTAGATTTTAGTCCCCAGACTGGGACTTCAGGAGGCAACACAGGCGAACAAAGTGCAAAACATATTTATGGAATGACCTATATGTCTAAGCCTCTTCAAAGCAAAGGTAATACTTATAGTGAGTCCCATATTTATAATTTAATATATACATATATATAAATAATTTTATATTTCATAACTTAATCTCACGACAAGTTTCATACCATTTCTACATTGCGATGTTATAAGTTAATAGTAGTAGTTGTAATGGAAAAAAACACTTTATTATTTTTAGAGCATTTAAACAAAACCTTGTTTTTTATAAAAAGTGTTTTACTTTTAATTTTTTAATTTATGAATATGTGCATTACTGAATGTAAATATTGATTACATGTTTAATTGTTACATGTTTAATAGCAAAACCTAATCTAAACTTTCTTTGTTACAGCCAAAAAGTTTAAAACAAACCAGGAAGATGGAAAGCTCCAACATAATTTGGCAGTTGCGAGATATTATGATAAAAAAACAGAAAAATTAGACATAGAGATTAAAATATTGAAATTGGAGTTAGCTTATAAGGAAAACATTATAGTAATAATAATATTCAGTATCTAGTTTATAAATGACATTTTTTGATATTTTTTTATTTTATGAAGGTGTTGAATTGGTTTTTTTATGTTATTTAGGGTATTTCAAACAGTTGTAAAATAAAACATAGTTTATAAATTTGTTATTTTATTACTTTTCATTACATTAGAAAACTGATACTTTGCAGTTCATTATTGCTCCTAATCTTGATATCATCATCTATTAGTGTAAACTGAAAAAAAAAAGATAATAAGAACTTTATTAAACAAAACAGGAAAAGGCCTCTTGTAGTAGGTACTTAAATGTACTACATCATTGAATGATAATTTGGTTATGTAAGTACATTATCATTGAATTTAAGTAATACTCACTTACAAAATACTTACAAAATATTCTGTAATCAATATTTCCCTTTCCATAGAATTATTCATTTCATCAGCATAACTGGCTACAGGCACTGCTTCTGCATTTGCTTGAGATGTACAATATCGTTTTTACATCAGTAAAATGGAACGTAATAAAAAAAAGCCGCCATTTTGTCTGTGTCACTGTCATTCGTTTCGGTCTTTCATTCCGTTTCTCTTCGAGTTGCGTGAATGTGCTCTGTTGTGTGTTGTGTGGTATTCTTGTGGATTTTTTCGACGACCTTTGCTTCTCCCCTGGACTTGATTTATTTGCCATTACGATTGACCCACGCCTACACACTGGACACCGATTTCCTGCTTACTCGACCGATTTTTGAGCGAAATATCCCGGACGAAACACTTCGATCGGCCTGTACGATGGTACGAACACTCAGCGACGAGTCGCTCTGCGGTTGAGGTCGAGCCTCAACCATCCACGAGTCGCTCTGCGGTTGAGGTCAAGCCTCAACCATCCACGAGTCGCTCTGCGGTTCAAGACGACCCTCGACCATCCACGAGTCGCTCTGCGGTTGATGACGAACCCCAGTCGCCAAGCAGTTCTTCGGAGGAGGACGAACCACCTGCGAAACGGCATCTTTCGGCAGAGGAAGTCCGCGGAATGTGGAATTTAGTTAAAGTTTATCGCCAATTATGCACGCGCGAACAAGCTGTGTCGTTTGCTGAAGAAAGGGGCATGATAAGCCGTACAAAAATGTGCAATTATCATAAAAAACCAATGTCAGTAGACTTTATTTCTAATAAAACGGTGGGCTCGTTCATATGCCACAGAGGGGCATGCAAAACAAATCACGCGTCAGCCGGGGCAAAGGCACATGGCTTGAAAACGTTAAAATAAATATGCAGCAAGTATTTTATTTAATGTATGCTTTTGCTCAAAAGCATTCCTATGAAAGGACTATGATTGAAGATTTCTCCGAAACAGAACACTGTCTCTCTACAGCAACAATAAGTGACTGGTTTATTATTGTAGAGAGGCAGTTGTCAAATTTCAACAAAACAAACAAGAAAGATTAGGAAAGATAGGAGGCCCTGGCAAAGTGGTACAAATAGACGAAAGCAAGTTCGGTAAGCGTAAATATAATAAAAGACGTCGCATAGAGGGACACTGGGTCCTTGGCATGATAGAAGATGGGAGTGAAGATCTTCGACTCGAAATCTGCCCAGAAAATGTCCGGACGGCAGAGGTTTTGGTGCCCTTAATTAAAAAACATGTGGCGGAGGGCACCACCATACACACACATTTTTGGCGCGCCTATGATTGTCTGGGAGACCATGGATATGTGCACAAAACCGTAAACCATAGTGATTTAAATAATCCATTTATAGCTCAGGATGGTACACATACACAAAGGATTGAATCACAGTGGCGATTAGTGAAACGTTTTTTTTATAAAAAAAAATTATAACAATCGTATGAACATTAGTGATGTTATGTATGAATATTTGTGGAGAAGAGATATTCAAAGAAATAAAAAGGATCCCTTCGAGAAATTAATCAATGTGATAAAATTTAATTTTAATAAATAGATTTAAGAAATAATGCATTGTTATTTTATAATATCCTAGATATCTAGTTTAGAAAAAAGACAGTATAATCCTATTGATTATAAACAAGTACAAAAGACAGTTATAACTGTTACTAGGATAAGTTAAGATGCAAGAGCGAGCGAAGCGAGCTCAAGATTTGGGGGCACCCCGACTCGGATAGGTTAGAAGGTCGTTTGTGAGCTCCCGTCGGGCGCTGATTTGACGTGTTATGCGGACGATACGCTCGTAACTGCCCGGGGGAGCTCGCACAGGGAGGCGACGTTGATGGCCACGGCTGCGGTGTCACAGGTTGTGAACCGTATCCGGTGCCTGGGCCTGGACGTGGCCCTAAACAAGTCGGAGGCCATGGTATTCCACGGACCCCGACGTGCGCCCGCGCCGGTATCGCATATTGTAGTCAGCGGGACTCGCATAGCTGTCGAGTCCACCATGAAATATCTGGGATTGGTGCTCGACAGCCGATGGTAATTTGGGCCTCACTTCCGGCGGCTGGCGCCCAAGCTGATGGGCGCAGCGGGCGCGCTTTCAACGTTGCTTCCCAACTTGGGGGGCCCGAGCGCCGCCTGTAGGCGGCTGTATGTGGGAACCGTGCGATCCATGGCCCTGTACAGGGCCCCTGCGTGGGCATTGGACTTGACGGCCAACACTCTCGCCATCCTAAAAAAACCGCAGAGGGCGATGGCGGTCAGAGTCGTCCGCGGGTATCGCACGATTTCCTACGAGGCGGCTTGCGTCCTGGCCGGATCCCCGCCCTGGGACCTAGAGGCGAAAGTACTCGCGTCACTATACCGATGGCGCGAGGTAGAGCGGACACGGGGCTCGAGGCCGGTGCAGCGCCAAATCGAGCGGCGCCGAGAGGAGCTCCGTCAGGTCTTGGTGGCGGAGTGGCGGCAAAGGCTTCAGCGCCCCACCGGCCTTACTACCGTCGAGGCGATCCGGCCAGTACTCGATGACTGGCTCGGGAGGAAGCACGGCTCCCTGTCGTTTAGGGTGACGCAGGTGCCGTCAGGGCACGGCTGCTTCGGCAAGTACCTGCGCCGCATAAAGAGAGAGCCGGACGCCCGGTGCCACCACTGCATCCATTGCGGGGAGGACACAGCGCAACACACGCTCGCCGAGTGTGTAGCTTGGGAGGAGCAGCGCCGTGTCCTCACAAATGAAGTAGGAGACTATCTGTCGCTGCCGGCCGTAGTGCGGAAGATGGTGGACAGCACAGAGTCGTGGGACGCGGTGGTGTCTTTCTGCGAGGACGTGATGTCGCAGAAAGAAACTGCGGAATGGGAGAGGGAGATCTTGTTGACTTCCTTTCCCAACCGCAGACGGCGCACCGGGCGTAGGAGACGGGCCGACAACGCCCTCTTCCGGCCCCCATGAATGGGTCCAGGGGCGGCGGACTTGGGGAAGTCCCCGCCCCCGATTCGATAGACCCGAGTCGAAGGCGCGCGCGGGTGTCGGCGCGCGCCTTTGAGGCGATGCACGTGGCTACACATTGCTACGGTGCAGGAGACGAGGCCCGGACGGACGGGCCGGCACTGTAATGCGGGGCTGCGGATGAATTTGGACTCCCGCGGCCCCGCGCTTACGTGCGAGGAGACACTGGAGTGGTTTTAGAGTCCGGCACACCCCTCCGCCTTTCCCCAGGCGGAGGCAGTCCATGATGATGATGAGGATTTCCCCCATTAAAAAAAAAAGAAGGTCGTTTGCGGAGGAAGGCTGTTACACGTTTTGGCGCGCTTTCGATGTAATTTTACGAGTGCTCAAAATAACCGGTGAGTACATTATTACGACAAATCTGAGTATTTAATGTAGCATATTGAGTAACTGTAATCTTAAATTATATATTTTGAAATCGTTGAAACACCAATAAGGCGCAATGGACGTCTGAAACTTAAGCCAAAGAACTGGTGAACCAAAACCAGTCTATTAGGTCTGCGGCTAAAGCCATGGGTATTCCTTTTTCCACCCTCCAAAAACGGCTAAAGCAACAAAATCAATCAGAACCACGTCTCGGAAGACTTCCTGTTTTTACACAGGATGCAGAAAAGATCTTGGCAGACCGCATTAAATACTTATCTTCAATTTTTTATGGAGTCACAGCTATACAAGTAAGAAAGGTAGCATACCGATATGCAGAAGAGCTTCAAATCCAACACACATTTGACCGAAGTGCCCAAATGGCTGGACGTGATTGGCTGGAAGGATTTCTGAAAAGAAATAATATATCTATTCGCAAACCAGAAGCCACAAGTATCAACAAAATAACTGCTTTTAACTCGTCGAGTACCGGTTTTATAGACACAATTAAAGAACAATAGGTCGCGGTCACCGGTGACCGCTTGGTGTTTGACAGATTAATAAGGA